CCTCAGTTTCGACGAATTACTCGCCCAGTCGGACGTGCTCAGCTTGAACCTGTCCCTTAATGCCAAAACACGACACATAATATCCGCACCTGAATTCGCCAAAATGAAGGACGGTGTGGTGATTGTCAACACGGCGCGAGGCGCACTTATAAACGAAAAGGACCTGGTGGCCGCGCTGGAAAGCGGCAAAGTGTCCTCGGCCGGACTGGACGTGTTTGAAGAAGAGCCCAAAGTGGAAGAAGGGCTATTGAAGAACCAGAACGTCTTTATCGTGCCGCATATCGGCACGAGTACCTACGAGACACAGCGCGAGATGGAATTGTTGGTGTTGGAGAACCTCCAGAACGCGGTGGACAAGGGCTCTCTGTTGACCCCGATTGCGGAGCAAAAGGGACAATTGAACGGGCATTTATAGTTGGTGTTATTGGCAGAGCTAGCCTTGTAGCGAGGATAGATATAGATGATAAACGGCGTAGACCTGTCGGGGAGGAACTCGGATATATGATAATACTACAACAACTGAGGCGTACTAGATATCTATCTACTCCGTCACAGGGACCATGATTTTCTGGGGGGTTCAAATAAATTGCACTGGGAATCATCAACACGATTTATGCAAGGACATACACCTGATCTCCCGCCCGCCATAAGAGATGCTAAAGGGGCAGAAACAGTTCAGCACTGCCATTTAATTGAAGCAATAGCCTACCTCTTTAACGATAAAATGGAGCTATAGCACAATAAACAGGGAGGGTAAAAAAGCCGAGACAAGGCCAAGAGTTTGGAGGGAAATAGAGCACCGCGGTCAAACTTACCGTGCCTGCTTTGCAAAGGAGTGCGAGGATGAAAGCTCGAGGTGGGAGAAGTGTTGGCAATGTCTCAAACTCTCTAGGTATTTATCCATTTTTGAACCTTTGGGAGTCATTCAGTCATCATTCTTGACGGGAGCGAGAATTGCAAGCATCCGTCTCCTCTCGGAGTGCTTCCAGTGCCGTGACAACCTCCGTAGCTGAATGATAGTTGCCCTGCCAGCAATTCGTAACAATAGCAGAAGAAAGAACACCAACCAAATCTGGAAATGGCCGTTCACGGTCCGTAGAGATTCACTCCAAGGAGGGCTCCCTGTCCAGATCTCAAAGATGATGCTGCCGAGATGAAAGAAGTCGTCTTATACGTCTGGCGTATCGTCGTCTCTTCCAGGACGTTGAAAATCGGTATCGGGCTCTGCTTGAGGTATGGAGCCGTCGATTGATGATCCTCCAAAATCGCAGAATTTAACACAATCAGTCTTGTCCAGAATGATGTTGAGACAGCCCATATCGCATTGAACAACGCCTTTTTCGTGCATATAAGAAGATCCCACTGCCGTCTGGATTGATCATCTGAATGCCTCGTTGGTGGAAGGCAACTTATTGTGTTTTCCACGATCACTCAGTCGGTCTCTCGGGCTTTTCACCAGCCTTTCGAGTACTAGTCCGCGGTTGATTGTGTACTTCAGCTCTCATATTCGACTGTTTTTCAAGTCGCTCGAGGATTTTCCGTTCAATCAAATGACTTTCGAGTAATTGGTTGTCCATATATTCGTTGTCTGTTCTAATGGCAACCTTCACCACAGTATGGTCATCGCCGCAAGAACATGCCCAGACGACCCAGCACCAAGGCACACTAACTCTCCACGAATAATGTCGCGGTCCTTTTTTCCGACTCCATGGTGGTCTAGACTGGTCCACCCTCAGCCATCTTGAGGTAATATGCGCGGTTTGGCGATTTACCTCATGCAAAGTAATAGTCTCTAGCGAGGTATCCCCTTGCGAAGGAGTTAATAGTGAGGGTCAATGGCAGCGTGGCATCGCAGGTATATGGGTGGAGGACATGTAGCGCGAGCGAAGGAGAGTTGGTAAAGAGAGTACCGAATTCTGAAGAGGCACGGCTGTGACTGAAAGAATACGTGTCATTGAAGGAGAGAAAATCCAAAAGCAAAAAGAAGGGACTTTGAGCACTGAAACCTGAACGAACGGTAGAACACAGGATGCTGGAATGTTGTAGGGATGAAGGGTTTCCAGAACTTTAAGAGCGGCACAAATAGTTCAAGGGGAGAATTGTGATGATGTTCTGTTGGTGTAAAAGCGGCAATCTATCGACCCTCCACGTGAACAGCCACCAGTTACTCGGTTCAACCAGCACCAGCCGTGACCAGCCCCTCTCGGCGATCCGCCTTGCGTCAGTTACGAGCACATGTCTCGGTCCCTTCAAGACATGTACCTCGATTGTTCGCCGTACGCCGAAGCATGATCAAATAAGGCGATGCTACACATCAATACACCTCCTCGCTCGACATGATGTGGTAGCAGACCATGACGCTTTGTCCTCCTCCCAGGTGAACACTTCACCTTCTGCCATCCTCTCTAACGCAGTCAAAATGCCGGTGCCGTCGAAGGAGGATCCGTTGATGGTCTTGTACAACCATTACCTTGGCCTCTTGCGTTCCCGTATACGCCGCACCCCGAAATCTGCCAAAATTGCTGCCACCGCTGCCCTCGTCCTGTCCATCCTCTCCTCTAGCTATGGCGGTTTCAAGTGGTGGCAGGCTCGTTCAAAGGAGAAGGCGCAGGGACGGGCTTTGGTCCGCAAGAATAGTGGTTTAAGAGGGAAGGGAGGAGAACGCATCATATATGTGCCCAAAGGCGACACCACTTCCAAAGTTATCATCCATCCCACACGCTCGACCACGTTCGATGCCCATCGCAGACTGTTTCTCACGCCTCCACGGGTCACTCGGTTGGCCAGTGGGACTTCAACTCCGGCGTATGGCCCTCCTCCTGTGCAGACAAAGCCTGGCCTCAACCTGGCTTTCCTCCACCAATTCCTCAGTCTAGCGAACATCATGATACCGAGATTCCGGAGCAAGGAAACTGCGTTACTGCTGAGCCATGCCGTCTTCCTCATCCTGAGGACATACTTGTCTCTACTGGTCGCGAGGCTAGACGGCGCAATCGTCCGAGACCTGGTCGGAGGGCATGGAAAGCAATTCCTGCTCGGGCTTCTAAGATGGCTTTCCATCGGCACGTTGGCCTCGTACACAAACTCGATGATCAAATTCCTCCAATCCAAAATATCGATTGCCTTCCGCACGCGGCTAACGAGATATATCCACGATCTCTACCTGAACTCAAACCTGACATATTACAAACTCACGAATCTAGACGGTGGAGTCGAAGGCGCAGATCAGTTCATCACACAAGATCTGACACTATTTTGTACAGCAGCAGCATCATTGTATTCTTCTCTTGGAAAACCCCTGGTGGACATTTTTGTCTTTAACTACCAACTCTACCGATCACTCGGTCCTTTGGCTCTTACCGGTCTTTTGGTTAATTACTTTGGCACAGCTACCATGCTTCGGAGGCTTTCCCCGCCCTTTGGGAAACTCAAGGCGGTGGAGGGCAAGAAAGAAGGAGACTTCCGGGGTCTCCATGCCAGATTAATCGCCAACGCAGAGGAGGTCGCCTTTTACGGTGGTGCTGATGTCGAAAAGGTCTACCTCGATAAATCATTCAAAGAACTCCGAAGCTGGATGGAGGGAATTTACAACGTCAAAGTCCGGTATAATATGCTTGAAGACTTTATTCTGAAGTACTCATGGTCCGCTTTTGGTTATATCATTACCTCCATTCCCGTTTACCTGCCTGCCTGGGCTGGACTGAATGCGATTCTCGACGCTACTTCAAGCTCGGGTAAAGAGGCAACGGAATCTTCTCGGTCTGGGACTTACATGAAAGAATTCACTACCAACAAGAGACTCATGCTCTCACTTGCTGATGCGGGTGGTCGGATGATGTACAGCATCAAAGACCTCTCTGAACTGGCTGGCTACACCTCACGAGTGTACCAACTCATCTCAACACTTCACCGCGTACACGCCAACGCCTATGCGCCCGTCAGCCGCCGAGCCTCTCAAAGAATAGAGCTCTACTCGCTTGCGGACGTACAAGGCACGATCCAATACGGCTTCGACGGCGTCCGCTTTGAAGATGTCCCTGTCGTGGCACCGGGCTTGTGGCCCTATGGTGGTGACGAGCTGATTGAATCTCTCTCTTTTGTTGTCCACAGTGGCGAACATCTCCTGATATCAGGATCCAACGGTGTTGGTAAATCCGCCATTTCCCGCATTGTCGGTGGGCTTTGGCCTGTCTACCGCGGATTGGTCTCACGACCTCGAAATAATGGCATGGATGGAATCATGTTTCTCCCTCAACGACCGTACCTCAGCATTGGGACTCTAAGAGACCAAGTCATCTATCCGCACACGGAGATGGATATGCGGGAGAACGATCGACGGGATAGTGAGCTCGAGCGGATTTTAGAGGAAGCCAAGCTCGGCCACTTACTCTCTAGAGAAGGCGGTTGGGATACGCGCAAGGAGTGGAAGGATGTGCTCTCTGGAGGCGAGAAACAGCGCATGGCCATTGCTCGGCTGTTCTACCATGAACCCAAATACGCGTTTCTCGATGAAGGAACCTCTGCCGTATCCTCAGATGTTGAAGGCTTGCTTTATGAGCGGTGTAAGGAGAAGAGTATCACGGTCATAACTCTATCCACACGTGCAAGTCTTCGCAAATACCACACATTCAACCTAGTCCTGGGCCTTGGTGAGGAAGGGTTTGATTGGGAGCTGGTCCGAATTGGCACCGAGGAGGAGAAGTTGGGTGTGGAAAAGGAGATTGCTGAGTTGAAGGAGAAGTTGGCTATGGTGGAAACCTGGGAGAAGAGGAGAAACGAGATTCAGGATGAGCTGAATCACGTCTTTGTTGTTGGGGATGGGCAAGGCATACAACAAAAGGGGCCCTTGGAACGACCAGACTACATTGGAGAGGATGCTGAGTCGCAACAAGAGACTCAATGACCCATGGCAGCTGTCTGTTTTCTCTGTATCCATTACACATTCTGACCTGGCTAGGGTGTGGGAAGATATACATTCGGCCCATCACCACTCCAGGCATTCAGTTCCTTATCACCAGCCAGTTGAGGTTGCGCATGTTCTTCTCTTCCTTGTCGTCCTTCATCCTGTCCTTTTCGACCTCTTTCATGTCTTTATGAAAGTCCTTTTCCTCCTTGCTTTTTTCTCTGTGATACCTGTCCAACGCCCTCTGTCTGTCCCTTTCCAACTTGGCGACGTCTCTGGACTTGTTCTTCCGCGTGGCTTCGGCCAATTTGTCGTCGATTTCTCGGAGGTGCTTGTCCAGGTCCTTGTTGATCTTTGCCATCTCCTTGTCAAAGTCTCTCTGGGCCTTGCCCGCTTCCTTCTCGTACTGCCCTTGGACCTTGTTTCGCTTTTCGATCAGTTTCTTCTCCCCGTTCCGCCTGTCCCGCTCGTTGATCTTGACGTTCAGCCGACTCATCGCGTTGGCGGGGACGTCGATCTCGGGAAGCGGTGTGATGTCCAGCTCGGCGATCCAGGGCTTCATGGCGTCCAGCCTCCGCTGCTGCCCGCTGACATCGCCGCCGCCGCCGTCCGCCGCGATGCCGTCCAGAGGCAGCAACAGCCTCGCCTTCTTGTTGAGCTTTCCGTCGGCGTCAAAGACACCTTCCATCCCGACCAACTTGGCCAGGGCCTCGGTTTTTGCAATCTCCACTTTCAAACCTCTCGGTCGAAAGATGTCGGTGTTGGCGCGACGCAATTCTATCTCAGTGCGCCCGTGCTGGATCACGCCGGCGGACACTTCGGCGGCGAGATTGACGGCGCCCCCGACGATCTGAGCCGTGCCCAGGGGTACCATGCCGACGAGGTTCCCGGCGAGACTGAGCGCCGTCAAGGGCGGTGACTTGACGGCCACTCGGTTCAGGTTGTCCAGAAAGGAGAGAAACAGCGTCGGCGAGATGTGGAATTGGGCCAGGCAGGGCGGGTAGGCGCGCAGAAAGGGCGAGCCGTATTGGCCGAGCGTTGCGGGGATTGCGATGGGTTTGGGGAGGCGTGACGGGGACCGAGAGAGCGATGAGCCTGGCGAGGTCGGTGATGGGAGACGTGACCGGGAGGGGGAAATGGAGAGGCTTGGTGAGATTGGTGACGAAAGTGATTGGGAGTAAGGATAGCCTGCTTCTGCGGCCTTTCCTCTTGACTGGGCCGATGATTCTTCAATGGCTTGGGTATATGTTGGCGGTGGAGGCGGCGGTAAGGACGGATTTGGGTGTAGGTTCAGTCGTGCGGACTGGTGGTCGCTGGGTGTGTATGTTCCGTATGGTTGTTGACTTGACGTGGCAAAGCCATTGTAGCGGTCGTCGTAGTCGTAGTCGCGGTAGTCGTTGTATTGTGATTTGGAGCCACCCATGGTCAGCAGCGGCTTTGGTATGTATCACTGTAGTCGATTTCTGCTGTGTTAAACGTGTAGATAGATGGATGGATGCCGGATCTGTAGGTAGACATCTGTAACGGAAACCGACACTCTCTCTATATATGTTTTAAAAAAAATCCCCGCCTGTGCTTTGTACACTTCTTTTCCATCTACCCTCTCTATCTATCTCCCTTCATGAGTGAGGCTGCGCCGTAATATTGCACGATTTCCCAATTCGGCCCTATCCGCGATTGGCTGCAGGCGGGGGACTCGGTATCTAGCTCGCTGGGAACCAGGCACTGCCAGGGAGGGGACCTTCGGAGTAGCCAGCCAGTCGCGCGTCTCTCTCGTACCCGTGCTAATTAGTTAGTAGTAGTGTGCCTGATTCAGCCTCCATCATTTTTCACCAGTCGATTTTTCTCTGGCCTCTCGCTCCATTTGTCGGACGGGGAGTGATCGACCGTGCATTTTTGCCACATTACTCTCGGGGTACTGGACGAAACAGCCACTAGTCTAGCAATGATTGGCAACTCGTACAATATGCCGCATGTGGAATGGTGGGCGTGTCGCGGGGCTGGCTGGGGACTGGTGGTGATTGGTGGCACGCGCCAGGATCCGGGATGGTGGGTTGATCATCCTCGTACTTCGTATGGTCGGTGGTGGTCATTGTGCGTTCGAGGGGTCTAGGGCTGAGCTACTCGTGCTCGGAGAGCCCAAATGAAGAGTTGGATGGATAAGTAGGCGACAGGGTGTTGAGTCGAGTGTTGTGGTGAGGGTGAGATGAGGTCAGAGGTCAGTCATTGCTTTCTCTATGTATTTGTACAAAGAGTGAGGCGCATGGGCTCTGCAGCCTCTTACTGCCACACCGCACCACACCGTACTCGGCCCTTTACCCATGTCCCATTTTGTCGCCTACTGGGATCATCCTACTCTAGGAGCAGTTTTGTCATGGAGCGTCCTTTTTCCTCACTGCGCTGGTCTGTGATCTTCCCTGTGTCACTATGCCGGCTTCTGGAGCGAAAGGGGACTCGGTAGTTGCGCATATCTCACGCAGATGAACTTGATTGACAATACGACTCGTGCGACTCATGTCCAGAAGGCCTATAGTCACTAATTACCCAGCATCCACCGATCAGGTAAACAAAGTCTACTTCTGAACAACTTCAAACAGCCGCCTTTCCTGCTCGTCGCTCGCCAGAGTCCTCACCGTCCACCACCACAACTCTTCCTGCTTCGCCTCATCATAGCTGTCCACGCTCGACTTGATCTGCCTCCTCCCCTCGAAATATACCCCACTCGCCTCGTCGTCCAGAGCCAGCCATGCCAGCGCCGCACCGGACTCCGCCGGTCTGTGAATGTTGGGCGACAGCACGAGTCGCAACAACGGGATCAGGCTGGGCAGGACGCGCTTCCACATGAACTGCAGCAAGGCCGGATACTGTCTGGCGAGGCCGGTGCCAGGCATGAGACCCGGGTCGAATGCGACGACGGTCCATTTCTTGTCGTCTGGCAGGCGTCGCAAGCGCCGGTCGAGCGCGTACGTCCAGAGCACGTTGCACAGCTTGCTGGTCGTGTACCTTTGGCGGCCGGGTATCTTGAGCGGCGGCCCAGCCGGGTGTGCCAGCTCTTCGGCCGTCGTGTAGTGTGCGTTCGGCATGCCCGTCTTTTGCACGGGGTCGTGCGTGCCGCTGGCGGTGACGACGATGCGCGCCTCGTCTGCCAGGTAAGGCTGGAGGAGGGAGAACAACAGGGCGTGTCCGACGTGGTTGATGCCAAAGGTCGCCTCGAACCCGTCCGCGGTATATTTGATGCCGCCAGCGGGAAACTGGCTTCCCGCGTTCAACAACAGAGCTGAGATGGGTGGGAGGCTCTTCTGCGCCCATGTCTCGACAAAGGCCCTGACGTTCTTCAAGTCGCCCAGGTCCAGGGCCATGAACTGTACTCTATCCCCACTCTTGAGGCGACGGTTGATCGATTCCGCGCTTCCCTCTGCGTCCCTGCGTGACGCGATGACGACGCACCAGTCAGGCCGCTGCCGCGCGATCTCTGCCGCGGCGTGGAACCCCAGACCCGTCGTGCCGCCAGTGACGAGGACCGAGCGGGTGAAGTTGGGCATTGCGCTTTGTTTCTGATAGGTGTGACTTGACAAAATTGCGCGTTGCTATGCTTGATATATCGCGAACTTGTAGAACCTCCTCGACGCCGAGGATCGTGAGCTTGACCTTGACCTCTAAATCTCTCTTGTCTTGTTCCTCGGCACTCTTAGGAGTGGGACCCTATGACTATGGCTATGAGTCTGAGCACGAATATGTAAGTTGTTGAGAGGTGAGCCCGGTGCTCGTACTCGTATACTGCAGTACATGTATCAATAATTCCATCGCATCCCATCAGCCAATATGTAACTACGGGCCTGTCCATGTGCGAGGAAAAGCCCATCCATGCATAGATATCCATGACCCATGGCCAGTCCCAACACACCCTTTTTTTCTCCCTTTCCCGAAAACTTGTGAGCCTCTCCCTCTTGGGACTCGGTGCTAGTACTGGTTTCTGAACCACGTGGCGGCGTCAGAGACTGGCATACACACATACGAGGTACATAAATGGTGTAGCTCCCTCGTATTGCCGCACGACGACGGGGTAGATAGATATGAGGGGCCACGTGTGTCGTATTATTTGTCTAGTGTATAATCTAGTTGCAGTGGTGTACCGAGTACCGAGTCTACTCACAGGATCACTCCTAGGTAGGTAGGGAGGCTGGAAGGATCAGTATTCATTCTCATTGGTGGAAAGCGATTCTTCTAATTCAGCCCACAAGCGGGGGCCCGGTCCGCCTCGTCGTCTGCCTTGGCTCAGCCTCGTCTCGCTTGTCTCGCTTCACCTCGCGCCATCAAAATATGTATCTCGTATGTACTCTGGAGGTAAGGTGCTGACCAGATGCAAGGATCCCGAGTAGCGAGTTAGGAGGGACGCGTACTCAGTCTACTATCTATTAACGAGGTTGCATGATTGGTTACTGAGGAACCACCCTCCACCCTCCAACCTAGCCCCGTATCTACCTACTCGGTCCAAGTTTTAAAAAAAAAAAAAAAAACCCCTCACAACCTCGACCTCGCACCAACCAGATCATCCCAATCCTTTTGGGTAAAGCGCACATATCGACCACCTCGCAGCACATAGACTTGATCACCGCGTACCCGAGACGGGTCGACGCCTTCGGCCCGCGGCTGCACTTTCTCCTGCTTCAGGCCCATCGAGTTGAGGGAGCCGGTGGGGACGATGCGGAGGAAGAGGGGGATTGCAAAGCCGGGGAGGTCACGTTGGGCGTGGCTACACATTGTTAGCGGAGGTAACAGAGTTTCGCCGGGTTGGGAAGGAAAGGAAAAAAGAGGAGAGCAGAGGAGAATTGACAAAGAAAAGGAATGGACATAAAGGAGGAAAATACCTTAACAGTCCATCAAGATCAAACCCCTGCCCAACTTCCCCGTCCAGCATCAGCGCCGCGCATCCCGCCCGCCCGTCGTGGTTGGGCACCTGCACGCCGTAGACATTGGCGTCAATCACCCCAGGATACCTGCCCAGACACTCCGAAACCTCGGCCGTAGAGACGTTCTCGCCTTTCCACCGAAACGTGTCGCCCAGACGGTCCAGGAACGACCACCTCCCGTCGCTGTCGCGCTTGAGCGAGTCGCCCGTGCGGTACCACAGGTCGCCTTTCCGAAACACGTCGCGGGCCAGTTTCTTCTCCGTCGCCTCGCGGTTCCTCCAGTACCCGACGAACGCGGCCTCCGAGGCCAGCCGAAACAGCAGCTCGCCGCCGACCTCGTAGGGCATGCGGACCGCGAACCCCGTGGCGGCGTCGCGCACGATCTCGTGGCTCTCGGCGTCGACGAGCACGGGCACCATCTCCCCACGCAGCTGCCACCGGCGGAGCAGTCCGTCGTGGCCCACGGCGTCGCGCAGAAACTCGCCCTCCTGGACGTTGAGGTGCGACAGACCTCCTTCGGTCGAGCCGTAGAACTCGCAGACCCTGGGAATGCCGAATCGAGACTGGAACCGGCCCCACACGTCGGGTCTCATGCCGTTGCCGTACACCATGCGGAGGTTGTGCTCGCGGTCGAGCGGTGAAGGGGGTTGAGCGAGCAGATAGCGCGCGATTTCGCCGACGTACGTGGCAATAGTTGAGCGAGAGGCTCGCACCTCGTCCCAGAACCGCGACGCTGAGAATTTCTTGCTGTTGTGACCCTGTCAGTCCAAGTAGCAGGCAAACCAAGACAGTCCTAGGAATGAATCGGGTCTTTCGATCTCTGACTAACCCTATGCACAATGTCGTCGGCATAATCATGCAGATTATAGCAGCCGACCCTGCAGTGGAATGACACATTGGTATACAAATGTACCATCGATCCCCTGAGCCGTCTTCTCGCAAAGGTTGAATGCCCATTTGGGTGAACTGGCTGGCGAGTCGTGCGTAGTATCGGCCGATGGTCGCCATGACGCCCTTTGGATACCCCGTCGTGCCACTCTTGGAGGGTCAGCAAGGCCAGACAGACAGAGTTCGTTATCTTAGATCTCGGCAGAACACAACTCGGGAGGATTTTTGTACTTGGACACACCTCGTGTAGCGCAATGCTAGCCTCGTCTTCTCACCTATATCCTTGGTATACTCAGCTGCCGCGCTGGGCATTCCTCCTGGGAATCGTGCCAGCCGCGCCCGGAAATCTCCATCAATGACATGCACGCTGACTTGGAGCTGTTGTAGCTCTTTGTCCTCCAGTAACGACGAGGAGGATACTCGGTCCCGAAAGTCTTCGTCGACGAGCAGGATCCTGCATTCCGCGATCTTCACACAGTGCACCAGAGCACCGCCCACGAGGTTGTAGTTGATCATTGCAGGGTAGCACCCGATGGCGAGCAGGCCGAGCCATCCCAGCACGAAGTCCGGGCTGTTTTGGAGGTAGAACCCGACACAGTCGCCGGGTCGGACGCCGGCTTCCAGGAACCACTGCGCATAGCGACAGGCATGCTCGCGGGCCTCGCGCCAGGTGTAGTTGTGGACCGTGGGCGGGCTGGTCGACGGGTCCGAGTACCAGATGCAGTCCCTGTCGGCGAACTTGTCGGCGTTCTCGCAGAACGAGGCCCAGAGGTTGATCTTGTTCTGCGCCTTCAGTCGCGCCTGGTACCGTTCCCCGCGGCGATGGTAGTAGATCTGCGTCAAGTCTTTTCCCAGGTGGAATTTGGCGTTGAGATAGGCTGAAAGAGCCGCGGCGCCGGCGAGTCCAACTGCTGCGGTTGTTGCTGCTACTACAACAACCAACACCACCGACGTTAGATATGACTTGCACACTCGAGTTGTAGTTCAACCGCCATACCCATTTCGATCTGCAGTAACAAAAACTTAGGGAGGCGAATGCTTGGAGAGCCGAGCCTTTTAAAATCGTGCAATGCTCTCCGAGCTTAGTATGTACTGTCCGATAGGTGTCTTTTACTTGCTCTGGGTCGAACCACAAAGCCAAGTCAAAGTCAATTCCCTCTAGACATTTAGATCCTAAGGTCTTTACGAGCATTCCCAAGGGTCTCAATTTTGTGTGTCCATGAACCCATGCATAGACAGCAAAGTGGAAGCGGGGTTTGGTACATTCCCCCAAACCAGGGCCGAGGCGCAACGATGGGGGCCATCAGGAGTGTCTTTCGGCAATTTGGGGAGGGGAATTGGGGCGTTTCTGTTCGAACAGGGGTGGTCCCTGACGTGGTGTTCCGTTCCGTCGGATGTATCACGCCCTCCTAGATCCCATCTAGAGGACGACCGAGTGGAGCAGTTGCTGTCGCCGTGCGAGTGAAAACGCCCAGTGCTGGTTGCGTGAAGCGGTCCCGTAAGGGTCAAGATACGCGTGGAGTGCCTGTAGGGGATAATCCTTGACGAAAGCCGGCTTGTCTGCTCCGGGTCTTGTATGCTTCGTTGGAATCTAGCAAGTATCCAGGCCGAATGCCACCCATCGTGAAGCATCTACCCGAGCATTCCAAAGAACAAGGGATCATTTGCCCCATTGCCAATGAGAAACTCGTCGAAGAAGCTATCACCCACGGCCGGCGACGAGAACAGTGTCAAGCCCGGGAAATCCCACTCGAAGACAAATTGCTCTGGCACAAACGTCTCAATCTCGTTCGCCGTCACGGTGCCTCCTGTGGTCCAAAAGAAGTTGAGCGGTGAGCGAGGATCTGGCGGAATGTTGACTTCCTCGAGATTACCCTGGTCGCCGGGAGGAGGAGGAGGAGGTGCCGTGCCGTCGTTTTGAAGTGCGCGGCCGTACTTTTGGATGCTTTGCTGGAGGACTTGTAGGTACATCCTGCTGGTGTTGCTGCGGCCGCCGCTTGTCCATCCACCCCCTGCCTTGTTGAGTTCATTCAGAAGCATATATCCGTCATCCAGCAGCTGTCGCTTCGAGCTGTCGTCCTCTTCAGGCAGCAGCCGGGTCAGTTTCAGGAGCAACAAAAAACAAAAGGCGCACTTGGCCCAGACAAAATCCATCGCGTAGCAAAACTTGGACAGGTAATGCTGCGGCTGGTCCAGGATGATTCGGAGATGGCCCTTGAGAGCGTCCTTGGCCATGTGGAGGATGTCCCGCTGTGTCAAGGTCATGGCGGCAATGTTTTCACTGCCCAGAGCACGCAGCGCCCGGCACAGGGCAACAGTCTGAGACCAATACTTTTGCACTTCAAGGTTGAGCAGGAGTACCGGCGTCTCGGCACTTGGTGAACCTTGCATGATGTTCTTCCAGTCGTTGTACCAGACATCGATATCAACCTGAACGTCACGGAGGATGTCCATGACCGCTTCTTCCTCCAGTACCTCCGTCCCCGCCATGGAGTCGTGCGTCCTCCCTCTGAGCGAGTTCAGCTCGACCTGCGATAGTAATCGAAGGTCCAGGACCGAGGTGAAGGGTTTGTCCAGAAGGATCCGGCATCGCCTTGGGTCGCCTCGTAAATGGAAACTCCGCAAATTACCTGCGTCCACCCGAAGAATCTGCTCGAGCACCATCAGCTGAAACCAAGCTCGAGCGCGTCTCATCAACACAGCATCAGCCTCGTCGTACTTCTGTGAGCCCGGACCCTTGGATAATGGACTCCTACTAACAATCTTTCGGGTCAAATCCTCGTACGCGTCCGGAAGGCCCAAGTCGAGGGCCATCCTCGTTGCAAACGCAAGCAGCAGAGACCTCTCCGACGTATAGCAAGCAGTGACAAGGAGAGCTTGAACAGTCTCCAGAGACGCATGCTCGGGATTGACAATGACCAGGTTTAGCATCTTCTTCAGGTGGAAGTTGAGGAGATGACAGATTTGAGAATCTGCGTCGCTGAGCACGCCGCATCCGATGGTGATGATTGCGTTGAAGAGTAGCGCACTCCGGGAACTGATCGACTCGAACGTATCGTGTAGAGCATCGAAGATGGGGACGTAGCGATCGCAACCTTGGAAGAAGGCGTTGAAGAACAACTCGGCTTGGTCAAGTGTGACGAGGCCTTTGGCAGCGAAGTTAGGCACCGAAGCCACCTCGACTTCAAACTGAGATCTAGTACGCTTGCGACGCAGATGGCTGGGATTTGACTGCATTTCCGAACCAGCCCTGTACAGACTTGTCACTTGTTCTGGTGAGTCAAAGGCAGAGGTGGTCGAGGTTGTCGCATCGATGGCGCTGAGGGATGCGTAGAGGTCGTTCTGCTGAGACTCCAACCTCTCCTTGAGCATTTGCACCTCTTTCTCCAGAGCCTCGATCTTTCTTTGATTGAAACCAAGCGTATCAGGACCCGACAGAGGACGCGCGAGGAGGTGGAAAGGGGCCGTGGGAGGGCTCACTGTTCATGGGGGTCTGGCGGTCTCTCGACGTACACGCAGACCTTTTTCAGATTGTGACATCTTTCGACTGTGAACACAAGAGACGTCGAATACCCCCCGGGACTTTGTTCTCTTGGACTCTCTTACCGTGAACAGGGTCTCTCTCCGTCACATTTCACTTTGCTTGCTCTGCACGAGCCGCACGCTTTCTGAGGGGAGGAGAGAGTCAACATCCGACCCGACATTTCTATACGGGGTCAAAGAGTAAGCAACTCACGGGTATTCTCTTCTTGCCGATTGCCACAGAAGTAGCCGATACTTCTTCCTCCATGGTCAGAGAGGCGGAGATCGTCGAATCATTCACGCCATCGTTCTGGGATGGAGGTTGTCAATTAATGTTGCAGGGTTACGGTATATAAGAAGGGAAGAGTTTCGGAATCTGCTCCTCGGTAAATTGACACCGAAGAGGTGGGGATTTTTATCCTCTAGTAAATAACAGGGATTCGAGAAAGGCTCAAGAAGATGAAAAGGAGTAGAATCTGCTTGTGCACGAAGGACGGGGGTGAGCCACCGATGACTGTACTAAGCAATCCTGGCAATCCAGCCGCCCGTCTAGGTTACTTTGGCAATCCTTAACCGGAACAATAATTGGCTTCCACTTAATAGCACAGGTAGGACTTGATACGCTTACATCCTTCAGGGAGCTTACTAGTGCAATATACAACATGGCCGGTTTTGAACATTCTGGGATTATCAGAGCATCGCATCATTTACTTCATTCGTAGCCACCAACAGAAAACCCCAGAAAAGCCCGCTCACTAATAGACGAAAATGAAATCCTCATTCTCCCAGTCCGTTTTGTCATCGAACGCATGGTGGCCCGTCATTTCTTCGTCCTGCTCTTCAGGAGCGCCATCCATCGCTGCTGCTTGGACCCGATTCATGGATTTGTCGACCAAGACAGCGCGCTTGCCCATGCTCTCTCTGGTCTTCCCGTGTCGTTTGTTGAGCACGAGCAAGTAGCCGACCTGGGCGGCGTAGAGGCCTATGAGGACGACAAAGAGGGCAAGACTATGTTGGGGGTGAGGTTAGCACTTGTATTGAATGACATACATGTTCTAACACGTACTTGGACAGTAAGCCTCTGTGATAGAGTGGCGCTTCTCCAGTAGTATATAGATTGGGTCCAAGCACGTTGCCGGCGCATTGGGCGATGAAGAGTGCGCCAGTCGTGACCTTCTTCTTCGTCTCCCCAGCTGGGTTTGCCGCAGACCAGGAATAGATCAAGGGTGCTGAGCACGTTAGTGGCTTTCAATGAGAGAAAATAAGGTCATGCGGATCTTACTGATGCCGGGGTAGACCGAAATCTGGATCTTCTGTCAATCATAGCCACGAGATCGGTAAAGTGCAAGAGAAAGAGACTCACCAAGTAGTAGGCCACCAACAGTGGCGCTTTGGCTGATGCATCTCGCGGAAGATGCAAAAGCATGGCGCAGCCTGCAATGGGTGGGAGACTGAGGAATGCCAGGACAGGAGACTTGAGCTTCAAGGCTGTTGCGGCCCATGCACCTCCCATAGTAGCGATCAGCTGGACGGCACCAAAGGGCATGTTCAGAAGAATCGTTTCGAACTGATCAAAGCCAAAGTTCTTCACAATCAGTGGGCCAAAGGTCGAGACGCCGCCACTCGGCACAGAGATGGTAAACATCATGGCCGCCCAGAGCCATGTCTTGATATCGAGGGCTGCTTCTTTGACATGAGTCCATTTCCATTCAGTACCTTCGACACCCTGGTTGTTTGCCCTCAGCCTAGCTAGAGTTAGCCAGAGGTTACTGACAACATCATACAGCAGGTCAGCCCACCTCTCGATGGCAATCAACTTGTCTTCGCCTTTGAGGAAATGCGCGGTAATAGGGGAATCCGGGAGGAAAAACCAAACTACCACGGAGAAAACAACCGTGATTAAGCCAAAGAATAGGAAAATAATCTGCCTCATCTGGTTAGAAATAATGTCCCTCGTTTAGACTTTCAGAACCGATAGGCATACCTGGTAAGGCTTAAGTGAACTCGAGTGAATGTGGCCAATTCCATAAGTCAACAGGGAGCCAACAATGTTGGTGATGCCGTTCATCGCATACCAGGCTCCGAGCCTGACGGGTTGCTCTCGTCGCCGCCACCACATCTGAGTGAGAGCGATGAAAGCGGGAGCTGTGAGCCAGTAAGTAAGGACATCGACTATAAAATATAGCCATCGACATACCCACGCCGGCCTCGAACAGGCCCAGGAATAACCGACACACCAGCAAGCCTGCAAAGTTGTGCGCTGCTGGCATGGCTGACAAGGAAATACCCCAGAGCAAGACGATGACGGCGAGAAACTTCCCCAGCGGCAACTTGACCAGTGCATAGGCAATCAGAGGCTGCGCCACCAGCTGCGCAAGGTAGACGACAGCGCCCAGCCAGGAATACTCGTGGCCGACGAGATTGGTGTCCTCGACAAGGCCAAACACCGAGGCGTAGGCCAATGTGGCCTTGTCCAAAGCCTGCAGGAAATAGATCCCAAGCACCACTGGGAGTATGTATAAATCGATCTTTCTCAGGACTCGAGAGTTGTTCTCGGGGGTGAGGACGATGCGTTGTCCTGCTGCTTCGCTGAGGATTTTGTTGGCCCTGTCGTTCTTCAAGTCGCCCACGTCGACTTTGCCTTCGACATGGTCGGCGGGTATTTTGACACCGATATCTTCCATAGTGTATGAGGGAGGTGCGCTTTGGTCTTGAGCCAACACTGGCGGGGTCAAGTGAAAGGTAGATGCTCGGTCGAAGTCGAACAGAGAGATGAATAAAGCATACAGCTCCACTGTCCGCACAAACAGCAGAGTCGGCCAGGATAAGTACTCATCAGACGAAACGTTGCATCGTCCAAAGCATTCGGGCCTGTCAGCCGACAGTGAGCACGCCTCCTTGTATTCGATCCATACCCACTTTGGTACCGGGGAAGCGAATGAACTCCGTACGGGAGCCCCAAGTTCATCTCAGACTTGCTCCAGACAATTTCCCAAAAAGCAGGTTCTTCCCAGTCCAAGCATGATGGGATGATCGGCGACGCCACCAATGCGGGTAGACGTTAGAGACAGGGCAAAGGCCGTTCGGTCTTTGTGTGCCAACAGCGAAGCTAGCGGAGAGAAAGAAGCAATATGATTGGGATATTTGTATAGCCGATGACAGGGATCGCATTTCGCTGCCGAAGTCCGATCCCTGCAGCATCGCGCACCCTCCGAAGGTCAAAGATGTTTCCTGCAGCTCAACCAAGGGAAATATGAAATGAGGAGCTGACAGCTGGCAGATGTGAGCCCTGGAGGTTAAGTATCTCCCTTCCACAGGCCACCCTTACACGGTGCTCTCGTCGCCGCCGTGCTGTTGTCAACTTGTCTTCGTGCCCGCTCCTCAACATGCCCCAAATAGAAAGCATTCCCAAGTCATACAGGCCAGTCATTCCGCAGTCCAAGGCGCCAGCAGCGGTTCAGCTTCAATCAGAAGACCTAGAGTCACCGGTCAGCTTTACATTCGAAGCCATCCGACCCAACATATTCAGGACGACATTCACTTCGGACTCGCATCCACTCCCTCCATACCCGTCAATACCGCAGCCAGAGAGGAAGCTGGATAATGTCAACATCAACTCCAACCAGATCGGCGAGTCAAGTTGTTCCTTCGAGCTCGGTGACATAAGAGCATCAGTCGATTGGAGTCATGCTCCCGTCGTATCCTTGGGCTGGCTGGGGTCGAGGGAGATTCTGCATGCCGACCTCGCATTTCGTTCCTATGTCGTCGACGGCCAGGGTATCGCCCACTACGTCCAGCATGACCGCAAAGCCCTCCATGCGGGATTGGGAGAGAAAGCTGCCCCCATGGATCTCACGGCTCGGTATTTCCAAGTGTCTGCCACAGATTGCTTCGGGTACGAGGCATATGCTACAGATCCCATGTACAAGCATATGCCGTTGTTGATCAAGGCCACTCGTCACGGCTGCGTGGCAATGGTTTCCACGAGCCATAGTCGAGGATCGTGGTCTGTTGGCTCAGAGATCGATGGTCTCTGGGGACACTTCAAGGTCTATAGGCAAGACTATGGAGGCCTCGAGGAGTACCTGATCATGGGACGGACCTTGAAGGACGTGGTCCGCAGCTATGCAGAACTGGCCGGTTTCCCTCTTCTCGCACCTCGCTGGGCGTACGGATACTTGAGCGGAGGGTATCGATATACGATGATGGACGATCCGCCTGCTTACCAGACGTTGCTCGACTTCGCCGACAAGCTGAAGGAGCATGACATTCCCTGCTCCGCGCACCAGATGAGCTCTGGCTACTCCATCGCCGAGACAGAACCCAGGGTGAGGAATGTGTTCACGTGGAACAAGCACCGGTTCCCTGAGCCCGAAAAATGGACTGCCCAGTACCACGCCATGGGAATAAGACTCTTGGCCAATATCAAGCCGTTTGTCCTGGCCTCGCATCCTGACTACCATTACCTAGCCGAGAATCGAGGCCTGTTTACGGACCACAGAAACGGAAAAGCAGCGGAAATGCGTTTGTGGAGCGCGGGCGGTGGTGAAAGCGGTACCGGTAGCCATCTCGACTTTTCTTCTGCGGCGGCGTATGAATGGTGGGCCCGCGGCGTCGAGAGATTAAGAGGCCAAGGTATTGATGCAATGTGGAATGACAACAACGAGTACACTTTGCCCAACGATGAATGGAAGCTGGCTCTAGAGACGGTCCCCAAACCCAAAGGTAACATCAACAACAACCATGGATCGGATAAAGTCGGACTCTGGGGTCGTGCCATGCACACCGAATTGATGGCCAAAGCTTCATATCAAGGTCTCCTCCAAGCAGAGCCTGGAGTTCGACCCTTTGTCTTGACGCGAAGCGCCAGCATCGGGACTCTGCGGTATGCTTGTAGTTCTTGGAGTGGTGACAATATGACCAGCTGGGAAAGCATGAAGGCGGCCAATGCAATATCCCTCAACGCAGGTCTAAGTTTGATGCACTGCTATGGCCACGACATTGGCGGTTTCGAAGGGCCGCAGCCTTCTCCTGAGCTGTTGCTCCGCTGGGTCCAGCTGGGATGCCACCAGATCCGCTTTGCCATCAACTGCTTCAAGACATCTCCTCAAGACAACCAAGCCGGAGAGGTCATTGAGCCCTGGATGTATCCGGAGATCACGCCCATGATCAGGAAGGCAATCAAGAGACGATACGAGATGATGCCCTACATCTACTCACTCGGCCTAGAGAGTCACCTGACAGCAAGTCCCCCGCAGAGATGGATTGGCTGGGGGTACGAGTCTGATCCAGAGGTGTGGACAAAAGCCCTCAAGTCTGGCGAAGAGCAGTATTGGTTTGGAGACACGTTGCTGGTCGGTGGTGTGTATCAGCCTGGTGTCGATACGGCCAGAATCTATCTCCCACGTCGTGCTGAAGAAGGATTCGATTATGGTTACGTCAACCTCAATCCGCCATATGAGTATCGTGCGTCTGGCCAGTGGGTATCTGTTTCGTCGCCCTGGAGGGAGAGCATCCCAATCTTCGCCAAAATCGGTGGTGCGATTCCGATTGGTAAGAGTGTACAAACACGAATGCCCAGCGATACCAAGGCAGACTGTAAAACTCTTCCTGAGGACGACTACAGGGGCCTCGAAATATTCCCGCCCAGAGGAAGCTCCCATGGGAAAAGCTTCGCCACCTCGTGGTACGAGGACGACGGCCTCTCTCTCCATCCAGACATCTCGTCCTTCATGGTGACATACAGCTCCACCGATGAAAAAGTAACAGTTCAACTTGTTGCTGGTGCGGACAATATCTTCATCCCGCCATGGAAAGAGGTGGTGTTCATCTTGCCTCGAGGAGATCAGAGGTATGTTGAATCGACCAGTGGAGCCACGATGGAGCGAATTGCATCACAAGACTGTGGGAGGGTTCGATACAAGATACAATTTCCTAGTACCAGAGGGGTAAATGACCCGGCGCTGTGTAATGGACATGGTCAGTAGATGGGTGGCATAAGACTCCAGACCTTCGACTTGTACCGAGTAGAGTTAGTAGAGTACATAGAGCACATAGAGCCAAGGGTGGGCCCGAAATATACACCTTTGAACAACCCCCGTCCCGACATCGCTCCCTGAAGACACGTTTAGCGACTTCATGTCATGCTCAAAGACTTAGTTCATGAGGTGACCCTGGAGCGGGTCTGCGTAATAGTAGTGCCAATATATGACGGATACAAGATGAGAGGGAGTAACACTCGGTTGTTGTGCCTGTTAGGGCGATTGGGGGGAGAGATCGAGGATGCGCAGGGGGCCTCGAGACCTGCTCGGGAGGAAGCAAGATGGAGGAATTGGCGCGGGTCTTGGCGTCTCCGTCAGATTAGATCAAATCATTCGATTGCATCTGATAAGATGAGAATTTTCACGGCGCTTGTCCCTTTTGGGACGAAAATCAACTTCGCCTCGAGCTCCGGCTTCTTGTCGACTTCACTCGTCCTGGCATTTTGATCCACCGATCCTGCTCATCTCCCTTGCTCCCCCATCGCTTTGCATGTGCACCTTCTTGTGTACCCTCTTGGACCGTCAGATGCTCCTCCCAAGCAAGACAAGCTAAAGTATTGCGATATTCTGATGTGACAGCGCTGAGACTCGGCGGTATGCCCAGCACTCCTTCATGCTTACAATCTTCAACAATAGGTCAGGTTGTCCCAAGCCAAAAAGCTCGTCCTGGCTTGTTCCTCTGGTCAAGCCGAGCCACTAATTGTCATTGCTCTTTCAATCGGAGAGTTTGCGTGAAGAAGAGAAAAGTCATGAGCAACACTTTCTCGTGGTGGGGGACGGTGCAACCTTGCTCTACACGGGTTCATCGGAGGACCCATGCTATGACATTCGCATTATTCGAGCAAGGGTTAGCGAAAAAAGGTGCTCATAAAAAGTGTCTACGGCAAGTATTAATACCCTGTGCAACGCTCGCTTTTTCTCTCGTGCATCTCAGTCGCCTTTCAATCGTTTCAACCCTCCATCATGAAGTTCAACGCAGCTTGGATCAAGCCCAACTTTACACCTGTAGCTGTCGACCAGCACAGCGACTCAGAAGCCCCTGCTTCGAGTGATGAGGCGAAAGGAGCTCGTGTCGATTCGCAAAGACCTTCAACAGTCGAGTCCGACTCTCTCGCGGTCGATGAAGATGCCCAAACCGGTGTCCAGAAGATCCAGGCCACGGCACAGGCCTGGGGTAAAAATCAACTTGTCCTGGCCTATCTGCTGTAGGTTGACCGTGGTATCAAGATTCCAAGCAGGGCAACTGACGGCGACACAGGATCTTTCTCATTTACTTTGTTGATTCGCTTCAACAACAGATCACAGGAGTCTTGACTCCATATGTCACCAGCAACTTTCAACGTCATTCCCTCACCGCCACCACCGGCATCCTCTCTCAGATCATTGGCGGCCTGAGCAAGCTTCCGCTCGCAAAGATCTTGGATGTCTGGGGCCGCCCACAAGGCTTCATCCTCATGGTGGTCCTGCTCACAGTCGGTCTGATCATGATGGCGGCGTGTCAAAATGTCGAGACGTACGCCGCAGCTCAAGTTTTCTACTGGGTCGGCTACAATGGGGTCGGCTACTCACTCAGCATCTTCATTGCTGATACCTCACACCTCAAGAATCGAGGCTTAATGTTCGCCTTCGCTTCTTCACCTTAT